TCTATCTGTCTATCTGTCTATCTGTCTATCTATCTATCTATCTATCTATCTATCTATCTATCTATCTATCTATCTATCTATCTATCTATCTATCTATCTATCTATCTATCCACAATTGACAATCGGTTTTGTATGTAAATCTTATCAATGTCTAAATAAATGTGGTAGTATAATAAATTCCACCTAAGCTGCCTGTAAAATTGACTCTTCACCTTTGCTTTCACCACAGAAAATATTACACAGGAAAACCTGAAAATGTACAGGGCTGGTGGAAAAACACTGGCTTAAATTTAGCTGTTTAGGTGTTCTGATCCTGGCTGTTAGAGTTATATTATAAGTGACCAAAGGACTGGAAAACTTACTGCAGAGATGTGCTCGCCACCTAGCAATTTACAACTGCAGTCCTTTCACTGCTGGACTCTCCACGCACAGTTATTCAAATGACAAATAGAAAATTGCTGCAGCACAGTCTTTTATTTTTTCCACAGTCTTTATTTTAAAAGCCGACTGTTAACTATTTTGGGTGGCTATCTGGCTTTTATGCCAGCAGCTAATGTAACTTTAAACAGCCAACTCCAAGCTGATATGATGACTGGACTGCAAAGATGTGCAAAGCTTTTAGCTCCATATGATTACTTTTGTTTTCATTTTCAAACATGTGGACTTTAAACTCAGGCAGACTTAAACAACATCACTTGAGACAAGTGACAAACCTGAAACCAGTAACAGTAACTGGGTGCATCCCATGTAATCAGATGCGAAATGTTTGTAGAGTACCACTTCGTTGCTTTCATTTTGAACACCTTTCCCGACCAAAATTTTAATTTCCTGTTTCTCTGAGCTCATGAAAAACTACATGTGGTTCTCACAGGACAGCACTACTACTATTATTATAAAGCAATGTCACAGAATCTGATCTATTGGAGTAGGTGATATAATTCCCTCAGGGATTAATAAAGTATTCGGATTCAGATGAATTCCTTAACAATAATGATAATTAACATTTTAAAATGCTATAGACACTTTAACTTTGGATACCACTGTTACAAAATTGTTGATTTATTCTTATACCTTTAGATAAATATGGTATTGAAATTTGCACAGAGTGGTGTGCAAATGAATTTAATGAGTACTTCCTCCATCACTGCACTTCTTGCAAATCAGTGTCATCTTGAACTAAATGATGACCCTGCTGTTATATAAGTCTAATACTGAATGTCAAACCTGTGAGAGCTCGTGCTCATTGCACAGTAATACACACATTTCCCTCGGCTGTGTCCCTGCTGCACAATATGAGTCATAAAGGTGAAAAAAAAAAATCCAACATTGCTTAAAGGAGCTGTAGCCAGTGAAATGATTAAGTTTCACACTTTCTGTATGCTGAGCGATGGGGCAAGATATTGGCATGGCAGCGTAATGTGTTGCTTCCTATTGCATTACTTTATGGAGGCACTGCTGCCATTTTTTTTTTAAAATTTAAAATAAACAGGCAACCTAACAGGTTACACCCCCATCCTTACCCACCCACACCACCCCCACCCCCACCAATTCAAGGTCCTCCCTAGTTCATGATTCCTTTTAAAAAGATATCAACAAAAAGAGGACAAACACCTCAACAAAGCAAATTCATAATTTGCTTTGATATAATTCATACATTATATCATGAGTGCAATGCAAATGCTTTATTGCAATTGTGTAATGATAAGGACTGTTTCCTGATAGCACTGAGTTCTTCTGGGAGTACCACTATTATTTGCAATGATCTTGGATCCCAGCTTAATCTACTTCCGCCTATCTGGGTGCTTATTCTGACATCTAAATCACTCAACTGTGGATTTAAAAAAAAA